TTTATGCCGTTCATAGTTATCCACCTCTTTCTTAGCAAGATTCCATAGATCGCTTAGAAAGTTTGGCTACCTGAAAAACGACAACGTTAAGAAATCAGAAAGTCAGTAGTGAGGGTAGTAGAACTTTCGACAAAACTTTACATGTTCGTTTAGGGAGATTCGTAATGAAAAGTATCGCAGACGTCTAATCCAATCAGAAGTAAAAGCAAACACATCGAAAAGTCAAACACTGCTTTGGAAATATTCCTGCTAACGGAAAATTTTTAATTCTACGTGACAATACCTCAGATATACGAACTGTTTATGAGATTAGAAGGAACGGTTTGTGTAAAAGATTACTCTGTAGTGCGTAGACTGTATAGAAGTTGTAGCACAACCTCCAAATAGTACTTTATTGAATTCTTAACCTTTACTCTTGGAGGCTCTTACAAAGCCTCACTGTGGCTAGCATCCTGGCGTCTTCTCCTTCTTCATAGCCACTATGATTCGTGTCCGTTGTCTAAGAAAAAAGATTGCCATCGTCACAGTTCCTAAGGTCGACTTCCTATTAACCTTCTTCTTCTCTTAATCTTCCTCGATGGAAATAACGTTAAACGCTGTGGGTTTTCGCGAAGCTGTTGATTATGTAACTGCCATAGTTTTTCCGTCTTTTTGTATGTGCTATTGAAGCGGTTGGCCTGGTAAATTGCAATATCAGTGTACCCTTCCAGCCTCTGAAAAAGGCGTTACTGCCGAAACCTCGGCTACTGTTGTATTGTATTGTGTTTTTCTATGGTAGTAAATGTATGTTGTTTAACAACCTCGTGATTGCTGAACAAGAAAACGTCGCATTGCCATCGTCATCAACGAAGGCAATGGCCAATCGTAGACACACTATGCACGAAAACCTTAGATTAAAGTCAAATAATTATGATAGAATCGCTGTAACCAGTAGTATTTTCTAGTAATGTCCTCCAACCATTGACATAAAGAAACAAGACCCATGTAATGGAACAAAGAAATGACAGATGAAGAAAGAAGGAAATACCAGATGACACAGAAGCAAAAACGCTTGCCAGTAAAACTGGCAACCACCAGGGTGTAGCCTTGTTAGCACTGTCGTTATTGTGGTTCAACGAGTCTTCCGCAATGAACAGTAACATTAAGAATGTAGAATATAAATATTGGCTCCTGCCGTTCGTATATCACCCAGTGAAATCCATCTTATAGTTCATAAATATTGATAAAAAAAATAGCTAATAGTAGAAGTTTGAACACTTCGCGAGGATCATCTATGAATTCGTAGGGGGCGACGTCATAGACAAAGAAAGAAAAAATGCCAATTTAGTCACCTTTAGAAAAAATTCCATCATTTAGTTTATAAGAATAATTGAGCTGCCGTTATGAAATCATATTGAGAAGCCAGTGATAAATACAAGACCAAATTAGAAACTTGCTTGTTCCCGGTTCATTTTGAGAGGATGGGATAGCACAGTGGTAGTGATGGCGGTCATCACGAGAACGGTACTGGTTTGATTTCGCTTGGGCCCAGCCCTTCATTTCCCCTGAGTCAGAAAATTGGTACCGAACTTGTCCGGAAAAAAAATCATTCTCTGCAATTGTATATGTTCCAGTGAAATCCATGTTATAGTCCATAATAAGTTCAATCTTATAGTTCAATCCATTTGGGAACGCTCTAACTCGACTTTTCCAGGACTTCCGTAAGGATCGACTCGACCAGCAATCTACGACATTCACGATGAAATGAAAATTCAAGAGCAGTAGCTGAAGCCATATGTTGAAACTTAGAAGATATTTGTGGGTGATGGATCCGAGGAAACGAATCGAAAGTAAGAACTGCTGGGATCCGCAGAGCGGATGTGAAGACGGGTTGTATAAAGTAAAAGTAAGTAAGTTCGACCACGATGCTCTTTATTTAAGGAAACCAACGTCAAAACACTAAAAATGTAAGAAAAATAATGAAATAACACTTAACTGGTTATTACCTCACCGTATGATCACGTCTTTCGTTCAAGATATCTTAACCCTGGCCACCTAACTCTCGCTAAGCTTCGGTGCCACGTAGATGTACAGTATATCAGTGTGACAGGGATCATTCGATAAGAGGTAATCAATGTAGATCGCCGGACTTTGTCATAGTTAGAAATTTTGATGAAATTAAAACGCAAGAACTCACTGCTCTATTTCGAGCTGGATCTAACGCATATAGTTCTTTCTACAAGAAAAGATTCAACTCTTGGACATTTGCCGTTCTTTATCGCAGTTCATACCGAATCTTCTTGTTGAATACTAACAATACCAAAATCGTAAACTATAACCCGCAGTGTCATGCAAGATTCAATTCTGTCATCTATAAAGGAAAGCGCCTTCAGTACAAATTGTTCTTCTAGGGACGCGCTGTTACCCTCGTATTCGATGCTCCCACACTCCTGAGGCGGCAGATCTTGACCTTTCTGGACAAATGATTTCAAAAAGGCTTCTCAAGAAGAAATGAAGGAAATGGACATGTCGGCAGAAAGGGTTGCGGTGAACTCATTGAAATGTTATTGAAATCTTTGATTACAAATGATCATCAGAACATTGATCAGTTCGGGAAATAATGTTTCTTTTTACGGCAATCATTCGTTAAGCGGGTAAGGGATAAAGCACTCGACGTGGACCAGTTCCTGAGAAATGTGTCACACATTAAAATCCATTCATGGCATCGTAGATGTGACTGAATCCATATTTGTCCTACAGAGTGATTTGTGGTAGCGTACTGATACATTAAGTTAGTGCTGCAGTCCTCTCAGGCAAGCCAAGTACCATGTTTCCGGCCCCGAAGGGATAGAAGCCTTATTGAGCTTTAGGCGCTCGATCGAACAAACGACCGATCTAATGTACATTATAGGACGCTTTTAACCACTAGGCTACAAGCGCCGTTGTGCAGCGACCATTCATGTTGTACAATATCAACTAGTGGATGAAAGATCCCCCTTTATTTATCCGCTAAAACATTAATGTATTGCAGGCGTTCTGGTTTATGACCGTACGTCCATCGCAACAAAGACATAAAATTCTTTTAGCTGGTGAAAAGAAGAGACTTTACACCATAGTCACAGTTTTTGTCCATGCTATTTTCCGTAACAAAGCAGCAGAAATATTTCGAATCAATGTTAAGAATCAACACATTCACGTGTGGCTGTGTGCGGCGTAGTGGTTAGAGGTGTACTTCAGTGCACACATAGCCTTTGGTTCAATGCAGGGAATGGTGCTATACGAAGTCCGTCACACTCTCCTTGTTCTTTTGATGCCAGAATACTCTGAAAGGAAAGAAAATACACTGATCTAAAATCGTAGAGCATACAATCACCCCAGTGATGCTCATGGAGCCAAACACTTTGCACTCCTCACCATGTGATGAACTCTGGACAGTTCATTCTCGCTCTGTGACACATTCATAACCATGTGCATCATATATGATTCATCGGTAATGGCAAAAAATAGACGTAGTAATGCAAATTGCCGACCTGCAGATGATTTTCATCTGTGGAGATGCGCACCTTGTTACATGGATTTAAATGCACAGTTCCTATAATGGATGACGTCTCTACACAATCAGCTCTACTTCTTCTATAACGCTACGCCGCCGGCAGGTTCTCTTAGACTCTGGTGTTAGGTATTTGTGCCATCGTTTACGATATATTAGTATGTTCCATCATGGAAGTATACTGCTGTCAACATCCCGAAGTGTTTTGCAGTCTGTTTTTCTGTTTTTTATACTCGGAGGAGCAGATAATACACTGGTAGTCATGCCGATCATCACGATCACGGTGCTGGGTCGATCCTATTCTGGGCTCACCAAGTCTCTCACCTTCTGGTATCGGGAAATTGGTACCGGACTTGTCTGGGAAAATCCACTACAATCCAAGTGGGAACGTTCTAGCCTGGCTATCTAAGGACTCTAAAGAGAATCGACTCAACTAGCATTCAGTGACACCCAAGACGAGAGCAAAATTCCCAAGTAATAGCCGAAGGCACATGTGAGATGTTGGAAAACCTTTGTGGACGATTGATGCGAGGAAATGAATCAAATGCAAGAGGTGGTGGGACCTACAAAGTAGATGTGAAATACTGCTCGTAGAAAATACAAAAAAATATAACGAGGACGTATTCATAGGTGTTTGCGCCAATGTGTTCTCACTTATGCGCATTCTATTCTACGAGTCAGTTCGGCTAAATCCTGCAATCAAGTGATAAAGAAGTATATGAGAGGAGGTTATGAGTCGCCTCCTATAAATCAGCTACCCCGTCTACTCTGGGTGAGACCGGCAAGCTACCCGTGAGTATACCCAGCGCCCACGTTCAGAGCCCAGCAAGCTATACGTGGGTTTCAAACACTAAACACAGTAAAAGAAAAGAGCTTCAAACCCCTCAACCCGAGCTCCCGATTTGGCAGCATTGCATAGTACGAGTACGCAGTGGTTGCTAAAATATCAGGGCCATTCCAAACTGCCTAAATCGCACTGAAGTAAGACTGTTTTTCGTGTAGTATTTAACTTATTTGCTGCCCACTATTTTCTCATGGCAGAGTATTATGTGAAGTACAATGTGGTTTTCGTACAGTTCCATGTGCAGAATAGAGCAAGTTTTCCGGGTTAACGCTCAAGACAGAATCTTTGTTAGACAAGTGTCTGCGTGGCGAAAAACGACAAAAAAGAAAACTGTTCGCAACAATATGACATACTAAAAGCAACTTCTAAAACCATATTTTCTAATATTTGCGAACAATCCAGTATACGTCTTGGAAGAATGGCTTTATACAATACTAATCTTTAGCAGAACTTCTAAATACATAAATCGGCATGATCTCTTGAATGTCAGTTACAAGTCGTTCCGACATTCAATGAATATTCATAAACAAAGTAGAGTTCCATGATCAATGATTCTGGATCTGTGAAATTCAGGATAGTTACAATTTGTATAAACGCACAACTTTCGACGATTTCATAAATATTTTCTTAATTGTGCGTAAGATACCTCGGTGTTGCACTGAATTTCGCATATCCTTTGATGACCTGAAGTCGAGAACAATACCTTGAAGTATTATAGATTCGTCCTTGAGTGAAATTTCTAGTGAAAAATTCCTAAGTGCAACTTTGAAATGACCACAATGCAAAACAACTTCGCGCTTAAAATCGTAGAATTCACCTCAACTGACATCAATTATAAAACTCATTCGCATTAACGCTGAACTTCTTCATAAAGTAAACGTTGGAAGTCAAGTCAAGTAAACAAAAATTAAAGTAACCTTATTGATTGCTTCCAAAAAGTCCTTCTCTGTTGCGACCTTGCGACGAGCTCGAATAGCAAACATTCCAGCTTCCGTGCATACGGAACGAAGTTCAGCTCCTATAAGAATTTTAAAAAAATTCACATGATGAGTGCTTGCAAGACATTTGACTACAATAAGAAAAACATGACTTCATGGTTTTCGTATTAACAAAAACTTATAAGATTTGTGCTCTTCTTATAATTAAGTCAAGCTTCGTAAAAACCTAAATGCATTAAAATTCCCAATATTCCCTGGATCAAGAACTCGCCATTGCACTATGGAACAGACTTGAAGAATGCACCATGTTATGCCTATATTGTTGAATCAACGCCACTAGCAATACCTTTCTCTAGAGAAGGAAATGTAAAGGTCACTATAACGGTCGTCCGCCTTAAACACCGAAGAGATTAACGAGGAATTTTCCATTTCATTTTACACGTCGCCCAATTCTGTTCAACTCGGAACCAAACATAGCATGAAAACAATATGCAACCACACTCTGTTCTTAGCGAATGTGGCGCAGTGGTTGGAGGCGCCACTGCGACACACACGTGGAACCGATCCCAGCTGGCATGGGCCACCAAGCTTTCCATCCAGCTTTCCTCCAGTGTCGGCAAATTAGTTCCAGAGTTGTCTAGGAGGATAGCAGCACTGACTCGATACATCAGTAGGCCATCGCGCGTCATTGTAAAGGCCAGATATACATTCAATCACCTCCAACGATACTTAATGAAGTCGAAACCATGGCGCATCCCTAAGGGATTGATCAACGCCGAGAGATTTATCCTTTTATAGGGACAAAGCCAACTACTAAATATCGACCATGTATATTTCGACCGGATCACGGGTATCATGCAACTAGGCATTACACTGGTACGGGGTCTGCGCTCACCACTAGAACAATTGGACCAGCTTATGTACACAAATCATTATCTGCGCTTACGTGAGGTTCGCTAGAAACACGACGGACGCAGAGCAATCAAACTACAAGTGACACGAAAGATGCGACAATTCGTCGTATCGCCCACTTTACACCATCAGAACAGTAGGGGCTCAGTTTTAACAGTTCTTTGACTTCAAAGACCTAAAAAGACTAATGTCACATGCAGCAGCATTTATAACATTATAAATAGCAGAAAATTATTAGAAAAATGTAATGTACTGACTAGAGGTGCCCCGCAATACACACTTAGCTCCGACCCTGCTCCACGAGCTCATCAAAACCTCCATCTCTCCGAGGTTGACAGATTGGTACCAAACCTGTCTGGGAGGACAGTAGTGCTGACCTGATATACCAGCAAGCCATCGCAAGTGATAGGTCAGATATTCATTTAATCCAAGACGCCTGATAAGGGCGAATGCATGGCGCATCCTTCCGAAACTGGTCAACGTCGAAAGTTTTATCGTTAATCTTTTACTTTGAGAAGTTAACTTCATAAATAAAGTGTGGTAAAAGGAACTAGAAATAAATCGTGCAACAGTTGTATTTCATTTGATATTACGGACTCACCAGTACTGTTTGGGCAAAGGCGAGCCAGCAAATCATATCGAATGTCGCGTTCTACGCTCATTTGTTTTGCATGTATCTTCAGGATATGTGTTCTTCCTGCCAAATCAGGAAGAGCAAATTCAATCTTACGATCCAAGCGGCCTGGTCTAATTAAAGCAGGATCAAGCGTATCAGGTCGATTTGTTGCCATAAGTACCTATAAAAAATATAAAATAAGATAAAAACCTTGACAATGTGTCTAGACAGGTTAGTTTAACACATGTTTATTTAGACGCACAATATTGAGGGTTCAAAACGATGAAATAGTTCACCTTAATATTTCCTCGAGGATCGAAACCATCAAGTTGGTTGATGAGCTCAAGCATTGTACGCTGCACTTCATTGTCACCACCTTGACCATCGTCAAAACTATAATTGTGCACTATCAAGAGAATATGTACTTGTGAGTTCCAAAAACAAAGTAATAAGAAACATGAGGGCAACTTTGCTGGTTTAAGAAATAACACTATTCAACGGCGGTAGAAAACCATTAAGGCCGTACCGTGCACCTCCTACTGCGTCAATTTCATCAAAGAAGATTAGGCAAGCTTTCTTAGAACGCGCCATTTCGAACAGTTCTCGCACCATTCGAGCACCCTCTCCGACATACTTTTGTACCAATTCGGATCCAATCACTCGAATAAAACACGCATCTGTTCTGAAACCTGTAGAATAGCCAAATAAAACGGGAACTGTCTGCACCGCTTCAACGGATACGTGGACCCTATACATGTTTAAACTTTTAGCGATGGAGTTGGTTTTTAGACAAGTGACTGACCACTCTCCATACCTTAGACACCCATGACTTCAGAATTGTATTCGTTCAGAAAAGATATCATATTCTGTCGCATAAATTGCACATATAGTTTTGAAACACGTCTTCTAAAAATTAAATATACCTAGAATTCAACTCAAAAACCCGATGTCTTAGGTTTCCAAAATTTCCAGCTTGAGAACGACAGGTGCAAAAATAAACGATATACTGAGAAGAACCAACTTGTTATGCTGGAAGGAATTCCGCTTGTCCATTTACATAACGGATAAAAATAATGGATAAAGCTCTCGGCCTCGATGAATCCCTTAGAGAGGCGTCATGCATTCAACTTCATTAAGCACCGTTTGGAGGTTACCAAATGCATATCTGACCTTTACAATGACCCGCGGTAGCTTACAGATATATTGAGTCAGTGCTGTTACCCTCCCAAACAAGTTTGGTACTAATTTGCTCACTCCGGAGGTATGGAAGGCTTGGTGGGTCAGGGAGGCGGGAATCCATTTCATGTGTATTGCAGGATTGCGTATTGGACCACTGCCCCATACGCGCCCTGTGCTTCGTTCACATATGTGTTCGAAAAATGAGCCTTAAAAACTGAAGCACACGAAATATGTTTCATCGGTTCCAGGAGATTCAATGTTCTGAAACAAAAAGGTTTTCATCGCATGGACTGAGGTTTGAAGATTCTAGTAGTTTTTACTGTATTTGATAAGACCCATTGTTAGTCGACATATTGAGACTAAAGTTGAAAGCGGAAATTACTTTCACATCGTATGACTCTTGTAGACCCCATTCCATGGAACAGCTGTTAAAAAATAAAAATACTTTACGTAGCTACTCTGTACTTGTGTGTGTGTACTAAGCCGGTTCCATCAGGAAATAAACAAGCTTAAACGAATTAACAGACTCGCTCTTAGCGAAAATTCATATAGCAAAACGTAGACAAAATAACAGAGACAATAGTAACACTTGTTGAACTACTAAAAAAGTATAATAGAAGAGCGGTTATTTCGACAGTATGGAGTAAGTACCCAAATTTCACGAAGAGATAGCGCAGAGTAACGAACCTGTTTGCAACTGCACGAGCGCATAATGTTTTACCCGTTCCCGGTGGACCATAAAGCAACACTCCTTTCGGTGGCTCGATACCGAGATTTACGAAACGCTCAGGCTAAAGTCGTCAATAGATGTACAAATAACTACAGCAAATGCTTTCCGCTGTAGAGTTAACATAACTATAGTTAACGAAAATGCCTTAGATACAAACATGCAGAAGGGGAGTCTCGACGACTTCCCTAAGTTTCTCGATTTGCTCTTTACAACCTCCAACATCGGCATATGTGACATCCGGCTTCTCTTCCACCTAGGAGAAGTTGCTGACGACTATCAACTCAACGTAAAAGGTCAAAATAAACAGTATTACTTACATAACATGTTAATAAATTATTTCAAACCTGCATCATAGTGACTGTAGGATCAATTTTAGCAGGAAGTGGTAAATGGATCTGATATTTGTTACGATCAACACCGACTCGCATGCCTTCCTGAATTAAAAATCATGATGTGTGTTATTCTCCCACAAAAAATGTAGGCTCCCAAAAAGATCAGAAAAACGGCCTATGAAAAAAGAAAAAATGGAAGGTATACGCATCTTTTTCTAAAGGTACAACACAGACAAAAACAATAAAATAATATCTATAAAAAGAAAAAGCTATAGAGATAAAAAGACAGAGGTAATAGCAGACCTCAATATCTGTAGGTGCTACTGTGTCAGCAAGATCTACAACAAACTTGGCAAACTGCTTCACATTAATGATGTATCTGGGATCATGACCTTCTCCAGTTATAATTTTGGTGCACCGAGCAACCTATAAACGGAAAATGGACTTAGCGGAAAAAGGAAGTGAATAGTAGTCCATAATATAGGCCTGTAAACATTGTCAACAACCTGAAGTGGTTGTTCTTGCTGCATAGCTTGCTTGTCGGCAGCGATATCCCATAATGCAGGTGGTGCTAGGCCAGTGTCCGATTCTTTAACGCCGGACAGTTCATTCACCTGTAATCGAACTCGAGTAAAGGTGATTTAAGCAAGATACCCGCTATGGTGACTCTGTTGTACCAGTGGCACTAAGTGAAGAGTAACAGGTTCAGAAACGAGAACAAAGAATATTTGGAAATGAATGAATCTATAATTTAGGTGATTTATAATCACGTTTCTGTAGCAGCTGGAAATCTTTAAGTAAAATGCAACGGGAACCAAATTCCTGTTGTCCAGTTTCTAGGAAACACTGTTCTCCTACAAAGAAGGCTAGCGAACCCAAAATGTGATTAACTGCTCACCTTTTCCATACCTTAATACAATAGTGTTAAAATTAGTCTATGACAAGTTAATCTAGCAGCACCTAGAATTCTTCCAACTGCACACCTAAACTCTACACTACAGGACGAAAACGAGAACACCTGCAACTAAAAAGCCAAATAAGATTTAAAATGAGCACAAGAGCAACAAGTGTGTAAATGCCTGATCAATCTGAACACGCGAAAGGAAAGAGACACTCTTATCGCAACTTCGATAGAACTACTTTGATGTGGCGGAAGACATCATCCAAATATTAGACGTGAAGTAGACATGAGAAATCGAATATACTTTGTGTCATTTGGAAAATAGGATTCTTGCTTCATTTGCAGACCAATCTTTGCCCGTGAAACAGTTACATGAAGTAACTGGTCGAATCTATGAAGAATACCTTGTCGTTTGGCAACAGCTTTATAACAATTCTTTCCACTTCTGTTCAGCAAACACGAGGTGCTATTCCACTTCCCCACTCACGTAAAAGCTGACGCTTCGGCGGATTTCGCCTTCCTCAGAGCCGCTTTCTGAGTCTTCCACTGAGCATGTCGTGTGAAGCCCAACCGCACAGAATTCACATGGAAGCGTAATTTAGATGTGTCATGCATTCAACTTCATTAAGCATCGTTGAAGAAGAATGAATGCATATCTGGCCTTCACAATGCCTCGTGGTGGCCTACCGATGTGGTACCAATTTGCCCACCCCGGAAAGATGGAAGGCTTAGTGACCCTTGGGCGCGGGGATTTATCCAATACGAATGTTAATCCTGAACATATGATAAAAGGCAAGAAGCTAAACAAGAAATCTACCTTTTTCAGACATTCTTCGACGTCAATTTCGAGCTGTTTCAATTGTTCAGCGTAAGGACCTTGCCCATATCGCTTCAAAACAGCAATGTCACCTTCATCAAGGGCTGAAAATATCTCGGTATCGCAGTGGCTGTGACACACACGTCAGGAGCTGAATTGTGAATTGCACTATATATGTATAACAGGCTCAGCCGAAATAATAAACACCGATGCGGATGAAAAGTTACCATTTTCGTCCACGCACCTTGAAATTGTTTGTCGTCCTCAGTGTCAGCACTCTTTTTCTGCTTACGCATGTCAGAACCAAGATGATCAGGCATTTTGCACACGTTAGCTCCAGATTTAGTGGCCTAAAAAAGCAGTAAAAGACATAGGAGTGCTGAGAATGAAGGGCTTAATGGACGAAAACAACTTTCTCCTTGTCAAACAGATAGACCACTCACATCTAACACACCACACCGACAATGTATTAAAAGAGCTCGGAACATAAATTGACCACGCACAGGAGTTAGGTGATGACGTCATGAAGAAATCATGATAACTTGACATTTACGTTTTCTCCTTGAAACATTCAGGTGTAAATAAATCGAAACACCTCGAAAAGAGCATTTTGTAACGATGACAAAAAATGAAGAACTCAACAGAGCACTGTTTTCGCATCGGAGCGCAGAATCTTAACATATTATTCTCAAATCCGATACTTTGTCAGTGAAGCTAATGCAAAATGAACAATAGTCTTAACCCTCGTCGAGTTTGACCTTGTCGATTAAATTAATCGTTTTCTAGTTCTTTTTTTTCTGCAGAAGTGAGGGGGCATCGTTCAACAAGTTAGTGCACACACTATACTGTTTACACTTAATGAATTCATGGGTCTCGACAGTGATTTTTCCGTTTCATCTGGACACTGGTGCATATTTGAATACTTACTTGAAACTTGAACGGCCCGTCCTCACTGGTTTTGCGGGGCTTAGCATAATCACCGTTTCTTGAAAGATTTTCTGGTTAAGCCATTGTTGTTCCCTGGAATCCCGAGAGCCTGGCCAAAAGGGAGATTTGCCACCATGTGACTTTGATACCAAGACGGTGGTGACTCCTGGTATCGGTTTACTCTTAGCTAGGCTTCGTGGTGAAAACGCCGGACCCTTTCTTAGCTTGGGAGCCCCTGCCGGTGGGACGAATTCCCCCGCTTTACATCGCAGTCCGACACCCAGGAACACCTCCCAGCCACGATGAGGCGGTAATACCGTTGGGGGGTTATTTGAAATATTTCATTAAACTTCCAGAAAATTATGTAGATATCGAAAGTCGCCTTACTCTTATGACATGTGTCCATCTGCAGTTCTGTCAGCCATCGAATGCATTCTGTAGGCGTCATTGAGGTCTTCGTCTGTCCTTACGGACTTCCTATCTGTAGGTCTTTTCCGTTGCAGAAAGAAACGTGGGAAATATCTCATACCTCGTCTTCATTGCTTTGCTAAAGAATCATTTCATCATTGTATTGTCAGCTCAGCTAACATCATTCCGTTCGTCTTATGTCGTTCGCAGTCCAATCCATTTCGGATTTTTTTTCAGTTGAATGTCTCTAAATCTTCCTACTATACCGGTGCACCCGATTACTGACATTATCGCATGTGTAATGGCGTGTTTGTTTCGGTATTTCTGGCTCACCTACTTACTTGACCGACACTATGGTGTAGCCAGATCTTCATCACAAATAGGATCGACCTTATTTTCTGTGACTCCATTGAAGTACTAAGTACTGCATTCGGTGACGATCACTGTGAGATTCCTTCGAGTCCAGTGCTCTGCTCTAGGATGACAATCTACTACTGCAATCGATGTTTCCTCATTTGCGCTTCCGTATGTTTTTGAAGTTTGAAAGAATAAAGGACTTTGGTAAGACGCTGTCACCTTTTCCTGCGGCTACGTTATCGTTTTTGATGGTGCGAATGGAGAACGACAAAATTCTTTTTATTAAGGCCTTACAGAGCTCAGAAGAACTTTTAGAAATCAAGGAAGACCATGCTGCTCATCCGTGGTCTCGACAACCGTTATTAGTGCTGCCTGATTAACCTGCATCTCTAAAAAAGCCAGTGTTTGCTTTTGGCACTCGAGAGTGCTTCCACAACGAAGCATATTGCTGTCCGCAGTGACGGGATCTACAGGTACTTTTTCAAAATGCTTTCTCAATTAGGTACTTCTATTGTCACTCTTTCCATTTCGTACGGGTGCAAGCAGTTCTTCAGCTCGATTCGTTGCCTTTTAACAATCATCAATGAAAACGGTTTGATTCGTGTGTGACTTCAATTAAAGCCTGTCGATCTGTCATTTTCTCTTCCTCACTAAAGGAGTGCACGCTGTATGACTGTGATATTTCCTGGTATCCCAAGATGAAATAAGTGTTCAAAAGAATATGTTCACTACGCAAATGAACACCTATATATTAATATTTGTTTCATTGTTAAGCTAACACGGGGTTGTTACCAACTCTCAGAGCCAACGATCCGAGTCTATATTCCATACTCGTCCGTCTTCTTGATGTCATCTCTTCTTTTTCTTATTGAATCGAATATTCTTCAATCAGTTCAGTAGTCGGTTGCTGCGAAGACGACATTCTCGATAACATCGACGAGAAGTATAATCGGCTCATTCAACGACTTCACGTTAGCACAATGGAAACTACGAGTTCGAATGTCTCCAAAAGACACGTCCGTCTCCAAAAGCACTCGAGCTGATAAGCTAACGTGGAATGGAACGAAGTAAAGGCAACCGCCAACTCACGCCTGAACTTGCAAAGCAACGCAGAAAAGCGATAAACGATCTTGAAGAGAGAAGAGCAACAGTTATGATCGAAGCTTTAGAGGGTGGTAAAGGCATTCGCAACGCCCACTGAAACCGCGTGCAAGAAAACCAAGATGATTGCACTCTGACACCTAGACGAAACAGTTATATCTTTCTGAGAAGCAATGGAGAAAAGCATTCACGATTGCTATTCGGATCTTTCAATAACCACGCCCTCTGGCCTTGTATAAATTACAGGAGGATGGATGTGTCTTCCCACCGTTTCTCCCTTCCGAAACTCGACATCATATTTCGTAAGTGAAGAATCGAACAACACGTGGTCTGGACAGAATATTAACTGAACAGCCAAATGACCTACCACCAGTCTTAACCAACACACTGGTTCAGCTCTTCACACGTTACCTGCCAGATTCCAGGGTTCCTATTTAGTGGAAGACGAGAAAACCGTGTTATTCTTTAAGAAAGGTGACTTCCACGAAATCGGCAATTGTCTCCCTATCTGTTTGCTGTCTGCCGCCTGCAAACTTTTTACTGGAACCATCCTAATTGGAATTGACAGAACACTGGTCTGTGGACAGCTATGTGAGCAAACTTTTATCGATTTACAGAAATCTTTCGAGTCAATGATGCTGAGATATTTGCAAAACTCCGGACCGCAGGTATATGCGGTGGGGAACGAACGCGCTATTGTCCTTGCGCCGACATCGGCTACAGGTGGTACTACGAAAACACATTTCCGTAAAGAAAACCGATATGTGTTCACCATACTCTTGAAGAGCACGTGGAGAATAGTGTTTAGACGTACCCTTCGACAGCCGTGATTCTTTGTTCGACCTTGAGCCCTGGGCTCACAGTGTTCCAGATTTTGAGCCTGATCATACTGCGGTACTGATCGAACGTCCATTGTGCACCCCTGGTCATTGTTGCCTCATTGGTGCTCCCTGGTCTATGCGTTGCGTGTTGCGTTCTTGACCGCCTTTTGGTTCGTTGACACGCCAAATCCATCAAATGTGTTTTTTAGTTTCTGTAGTAGTTTCTTCTCTTCTTTCTTCCTTCCATGCGAGAATTTCTGTATGTTTTGGAGCTCGTAAAACTAAAACTTGGTTAAACAGTCTGCTCTTTCATCTTTTTATTTTTATAGGCCTTGATCACGTCTACTTTACAGATCTCAGCATTTACTACATTCGACTTGTTTGCTCACATCATCATCCACGGTGTCTTTCCAACTTTTACGTGTGTCCAACTTGTGTTTGAGTCTATGAATTGTATTTATCTATAAGAATACATGGGATTACTGACGAAAGTTCCATAGTGGCTGACACTTCGGCGTAATCCCTGTCGGTACAGTTACAGTGATTCGAGACGAGTCCTTGTAATTATTCCGCGCGATCTGAGTCTTTGAAGCAACACCTTGAAGTAGAATCGTGTAAGGTGGGAGCCTATCGGTCTATCCGTTCTGGATTCTTGACATTCTGAGGAATAGCTCAATCAGGATGGGGCGTATAGTCAGCTTTCGATAAATGCTCCCAAAATGGCATTGACCACCCACGAAATTGTTAATGCTGTTTGGTTCGACATTTATCACTCAAGAAGAAGAAATCACTGCGTAAAACATGGGAATGACACCGACTAATTGTTTTTCATCACAGTGTTGCACTGCTTTCGGCGCGATCAGTGCAACTTCGATGATTCCAGAAAGTTCTCATTATATTTGTACTCTGTACGCTTGATTCTAATCGTTGTATCTTTTAAGATGACAGTGTCGCATGAGAGCGTCGGTCACAATAAGGTTTCCTTAATAGGTTTCCTTAATAACTTTATGTAAGATTATTACTATCAACAAGCTTTCAAGCATTCGTGCCATTGCTGAAAGAACGTCGGTTCTAAATATGCTTATCGTTTTATTGTTTCCAGGCGCAGACAACCACTGTCATCCCTACCGAGGATTACCTCAAGTCCTTAAATATTCCTCCTATTCGTTTTGACTTCAATGAGGTTTGTGTCAATCAAACTGGAACTTTGGTCTATCGTATTCGCATACTCATTTTTTCCTCTCGTTGAACATCCAGGAATTTCTGCCAGTTTTTCCGTGGTGTTGAGATTGAATTTTTAACTAGGGTTATATCAAAATGCATACTTTTAGGGCATTTGGCATTTCTAGTTTTGGTTTGTTGCAAAAATTACAGTAAACATAGAGCGCCGTCGTTCAAATTTGTTTCGAAACCGACTTTCCTTGAACCTCGGTACCACTAATCGATATGTATTCCTTCTTTGATAAGCTTACACGAGGTTGATAATGATATTTATTTATTATCGGCTAACGTTTCGACGCTTTGTGCTAGCTGATAAAAACACCGACTTCTGCACGATGTGCGCAATGATGTATGTCCGGAAGAAATACAAGTTGTTACCACCGGACATTATCATTATATCCACCATCAGCATCGTGTATAAAAGGGCATCACTGAGTGAGGATGCCTCATTCGAGAAGATGGCTCACTGAGGAAGACCTGACTCGACACGAAGGCGAAGCTGCAACGTCGAGACGAACAACGAACAACAAGCATGGACCATTGCCTCTGAGGAAGACGAAGACGTCGAAACATTAGCCGAAAATGAATAAATATCATTATCAACCTCGTGTCAGCTCATCAAAGAAAGAATACATATTGTTCAAATTTGTGTTGCGGCAGCGCTGGAAGCACATCTAATTTCATTTCGACTGTGGGTTTACTGATTTCTTGACAGCAAATGATAATTTATCAATAACTAGAGGACTTGATGAGTTTAAACGGTGGTAGAATTATAGAGGAGGTTTTGCTTCAACACGCTTCCGTTTGCTGAACGTCACTATAGTTCACGATCCAAGTACATAGGTTTCAACGTATGAAGATGTCCTGAGCCTTGTTTTGAGTCTTTTTTTGTACTTTTCATGCTTACCGCTACCGGTTTCGTCCAGATCATTTACAGAGGTCCATTACATAGGAATCTCAAGCCGGTTAGTCGCCAGGCTACGTGGCGCGTTCCCAAGTGGTGGATAAGGGTTATTTGCGGAAGGACCTCATGCTTCCCTGAGACGCAGGTGGATCCAGGGGATGGACTCCCTTTTCCTACTGCGCCGATTTGGCACATACTTTCTGTATTTGGGAGGGATATTCATGCATTCGTGTGTAGGTGCGTTTTCGCTTATGCGGATTGTATTCTACGGGTCAATTCGGCCAAAAGCCTGCAATCAAGTGAGTAGGAAGTATATGGGAGGCAGAAGTCGCCTCTAGCAAGTAAACTCCATCTTCATTCTGGGAGAGACTGGCAGGCTACCCATGAGTATACCTATAGCAGCTGTTAGTGGAAATTAGGTCTTCGAGTCAGTCCTCGGTACCTCATGTTCACTAACTTTGAGTAGGATGCTCGACTTCGTAGCAGTTGCCACGCGGGACTTTTTCGTACATGCCGCAGAGGAATATCTCAAACTTGGGTAATTAAACCGTTTATAACAGTAATAATTCAAAAATAACGAAATATAAACAATACAGACGGCACAATACAGATTGGTACAAAATTGGTACAATACAGACGGCAATATTGTATCATGATCAATAAATGAGGGTAATACGAGTTAGTATCTTTGCTATAGGTACAGAGCTACATGACAGCAATGTTAATATACAACAGTTATCACATACAACAAGAGAGAACACTTTGGATTGACTACAAGGTGCATTACACATGATGAACAGCGTGGCGAATACGGTATTGACGCACAGGGTTCTTTAAATATCTTGTGGAGGGGGCGGTGCTTTGGCACAGGTCCAGAACCTTTACCGAAAACACCCATCAGCTTGCGTCTCCAGCTCCCCTGTGATCAGATGACTGAGGACGGTTTGCCGGACAGCTTCAACCCCTTTGTGTTACCGTACCCGTGATGGTTTGGAACAGATGCAACACAGAAAAGGTTCCGATTGTATAAAAAAGAGTGTGTTTTACAAAGGATGTTTACGACAACCAAAGTTTTTCTCAACGAAATGAAAACGTTTACATGCTGCAAGATCGCAAAGCGATGCTATAGGCCACGAGTATGGTTGCCACAGATCTACGATATGATTAATGTAACTATTCTGGCAATAGTTGCTATAATACCAAACCCCTATGTTCAGAGCTCAGCAAGCTGCACGTGGGTATCAAAATCCTAAACACAGTAAAAAAAAAACGGGCCTCATTCCTCTGACCCCGAAAAAGCCTCCAATTCGGTAGCGTTGGGTATACGGGACGAGTACGGAGAGGCTGCTAAAATTTCAGGACTAAAGCAAGCTACCTGGGTCGCAAAGAACTAAGGTGACGATGTGTACCTACAATGAACGTACATTTGCATCCGAGTCCTCGGTAGAAGTCTTGTTCATGCAAGCAAATAGGATAAGGTGCGACGTCATAGGCTTGGCCGAAACGAGACGACGCCACCCATTCAACGTCGTCAGTGACACCGGAGAAGAACTGTTCCTCGGAACATGCGACAGTAGAGTCGGCGACGTCGGCGTTCTCGTCAACATGAGTTTGTCCATGGACATCGATTCACTCCAACGACTAACCACCTAAATCGGACAGTTGCGATTAAAAAATATTGGCTTTTGGCAATCTTCGTCGTTTGCGCGCCAACATCAAACTATGACGAAAAAGAAGTCGAAGCGTTCTATATGGACTTGGAGCAGTTCTACAGAGAAAACCGTACATTCTTCAAAGTCATCATTAGAGATTTCAACGCCAAGATTGGACCAGGAAGAACGTCACATTGGGGTCCGTGGATTAGGAAGGAATGAACAAGGTGAGCGGCTATCTAAGTTTATCATGACGACGAAGACCATCCATGGTAACTCGCAGTTCCAGAAGCCCCACTGTCAACACTGTACGTGACAGTCTCTCAGTGGAGAGTACCATAACTAAATAGATCACATCATAGTAAGCCGAAGGTTTTGTCTAACCGATTTCGCTCTTGTCCCGAAATTCTACACGGGATCAGGTCACCGCCTCCTTCGTGCAAGATTCTATTTCTCACAGAAAGGAGAAAAGCCGCTAAATTCAAAAACCGAAGTCTCAGAACTATCATAAACTGGGACTTATTCAATTCGTTAATCGGCTGTTGGGAAGATGCCGTTGTCGATAACACCGGCGAAGGATACGATCGGCTCATTCAACTTCTTCACGTTAGCGCTATAAAAGCTGAGAGTTCGAAAGTCACCAGGAGACGTCTCTCTTCAGAAACACTTGAGATGATACGCCAGTGTGGAATCGAATGAGCGGCAGGGAACCGTGAGCTAACGTCCGAACGTGCAAAACAATGCAGACAGGCGATAAAAGAAGATCTTAGAGAGAGAAGAGCAGTAATAATGGCCGAAACTGCAGAGGCTGGGGAAAGCATTCGCAAAGTTGCGATCGCATCATTGATCATGTACCTATCCCTGACGATGCCTATTCAAGCTCCGCAAAAGGAGTAGCTGGACATTCGTAATTTTTTTGATTAAACTAATAATCACTGCTGTTTTAGGAACTGCAAGTTTGATTTCTCAGCACCATGCAAATTCCTTGGTAATTGCTTATTGTGGAAAACAGTTTCAGGATCAACTGCGTATACATGTTATATGTACGATGCTGTGTTGTCCACGGCAAATGGATAACGGCGGAAATATCAACGGCGAGTCAGTGGATAGGAATATTAGGTAGGAACCTTTTTTGTTTTTTTCTCAGGAACATAAAATATTCACCTGGATTCATTGATGGTCGGTCCTTACAAAAGATGCGACCACCAGCACATCCTCCGTTTGTTTCTTTCTAGCGCAGCTGTTATCCATGGAAGTGTTGAGCTTCGAACGCGATGACTTTCGCAAGAGGCACTTCGTTATCCAGAAATCGTTTCCATCTGTGAATGCAGATGGCTGACGTGAGTCACAGAGATCACCAATACTCGTCGAGTCCATTCCACAGTTCTCATCAATTTGTCATATGCTTATCTTCTTATATCACTGACGCATGTGTATCTTGCTATCGATGATTGTTTCTTCGATCTCAAAGATGGAGTAGACTTGGTAGATCCTAACTTCACATTCTGGCTAGATCTTATGCAGACCGGCTGTATTTTAGAAGACATCATTTAAGCGCTGTGTGAGTGGTGCATCGAAGTCTTGCCATTGTTGAAGTAACATTCCATGTCTCTGCTGCGTAATACAGCGCTAGGCGCATTGTTGAATTTGAAAAGGTGAGCGCGGCGTTTCATTTCCGCTATATGATCGGTGGCTTCCCTGAGAAACCCAAATGTATCCCATCCTGCTCGCCGTTTTTTGTTCAATTCTTCCTTCATGTTGTTCTCCATCACTGAGCGTCTAAGGTGCACACACGATGTGGTCTTTGCCTTCTGGGGCACTAGCAGTCCGATTTGTTCGCCTTCGCGCTATGAGCTTTCATGTTCGTCTTCTTCCGATTTATGCATAGTCTTTTTTCTCCACTTCATTCAACTCATGAGCGTCATCTGTTCTTCACATGCACATCTCGAGAAAATCACTAAATATGTGACAAAACGGACATTTGATAGGAGCTTTCCATCAATGCGCATAGGCTTCTCATTCCAGTCGCGCTACTTCGTGATCTGCTGCAATGCATCTCTAAATACCTTTAGTGCGATAGTGCGGCCATGTGGCAATGCTGAGGGGCTGATGGAAAAGTTGTATTTTTGTAATGCAGTTTTTACGTACAATTTGCCATCACTGAGTTCTGAAACTTTTGCATTTTTCATATTTGTTTACCATTATTAAAACGGTCTAGGCAGAAATGTTTCTTGCATTAAACTCATTTGATGTTGGTACACACAAAAGTAGATCTAGTGAGAGAGCTAGGGTCGTGCTTTCCTTTTGTTGGCGATGTGGTTAGTGTTCTATTGTTCTGTGTAGTCTATAAATCGTTGAATTTTGTGTAACTTCCAGTAGAAGCATATGCGGTTGTGAATGGATGGACATACGAAGGTTTTATTCCAGTTGACTATTTTGACGTGACTGCCGGACACATTGAGAATCCGTTGCAAAAATATGTAGAAATGAATGGATGAGTTCAAGTTCCATAGTTCTATTTGAATTTGATACAAATGAGTGGACGTCAGGTACTCACCTAGCCAAATGGCCGCCTGCACCTAGGAAAATGTCGGGTTATTAGCCAAAAGAAGAAGAAAGTGGAAGTGTTGAGTTGGCAGGTTCAACAAAACAGCAAAATGTCATAACTGATCATGTGCAGAGCGTACCAAACAGGCCCGCGATAAAATCAGTCAACATACCAAACGTCTGTTTTCGTTATTGTTTCAATTAACAATCACAGAAGGTGTGTTTGTGCTCGCACTGGAACTTATAATAGCATTAGTAAAAGTTTCACTCTCACTCTTTTTGCTTAGTATCGCTCTGCTGGGTGTTTGGTGAAACACTCATTCTAAACACATCCTTTTTTAGGTTAAAGGATAAAGGGTAAAGATCTCGGCGTTGATCAATTCCTGACGGATGCGCCGTGCATTCGGCTTTATTAATTATCGTTTCGAGGCGATTGATTGCATATCTGGTTTTCACAATGAGTATCGGTGGCCTACCGATGTATCGAGCCAATGCTGTTATCCTCGCAGACAAGTCTGGTACTAATTTGCCAGGGATGGAGGGCTTGGTGGGCCATCGGCCCAGGCATCGATTCCATGTGTGTTGTTGAGCGCCTCCTACCACTGCACCACGCGCTCTCATTTATATGTTGAGCTTCTTTTACCAACGCTTTTTACAACATTTTTTGAGGGCAAATTCGCGGAATAAGTTTCTGGTTTAAAGGAGTGGTTATAACGAACACGCAATGCGTGCGATGCCCTCCATCCAACTTTCCCAGCTAATTTTACATTCTAAATGGCATGTAGTTTGGGAATATATAAATGCATATATACATATATTAGCGGCAGTACACAAGAATTACGTATGCATAAGCACTTGTTCAAAATGTCATCACAAAGCGACCAATTTTTGATGATGTTCTGTTCGTCTGTTGCAAGCTCATCATTTTTTTCCGAAGGTGATACTGCTAACCTTGGTTGTTGCCACTTTTCAGTTGATGAAGTTTGTTTCCGAGATGGTTGTGATTTTTTGTATTCATCTTAATGTACTTTACTCTGCTACTGTTTACGCTTTGGGGTGCTTCTGAATAAGAATGGCGAAGTGGTTTTCAAAATGAGTGGTTTTTCTGGTTAAGAAACACCTACTGGACTTCCAAGTTCAGTGCCCAAGTTCAATCTTCATTCGCGATTTGGTTGCAGATCATGGTGAACAGTTACGATATTTGGATAAAATTTATGTTATTTAGTATTTACCACTTAGCTTCTGTCTGATGCTTTATGATTTCAGGGAGATTTTTGGTGGCTGCTTAGATTCAAAAACCATTGGGTGGGCAGTCACGAACAATGACGCAGTGGAGGCAGAAAAATTCGCAAAGAACCCGGTTCGTCTTTCAAACTGTTGTTGATTATTGTATCAGTGTTATGTATTTAATTAAATTTCCTCCGTTTTCAAGTGAACTGTGACACTCTTTTCTACCTATCCTTAAATCGTTTCATTTGCTTCTCTCAACAATTCGTCCACACAATATCCTTGTTTATATTACGATGCTATTGTCAGGCTTTCTTGTTTAGTCCAATGTCCTGTAATGGATAGATGTTTGCAGGTACGCCTTTTTCAACATCCGAAATTTGCTAACATCGTTAAGATGGACGAGAGTTGTTTAAAATTCCGTCCAGTACTTCCGGATGCTCTAAAATTTCTGTGTGGAAGGATTCATCGTGGTGTTCAGTGCAACAGAGCGCGGTTTGTCTTTCTCTGAGTGTAATTTCAATATTTTCTTCAATTTATTATTCGCGAGACAGCATTTCAACTTACCTCAGCATACATCGATAAGTTATTGGATTCTTGATAAGCTAACACGAGATTGTTATGAAACAGTTGTTTTGCAATATCTAACGTTTCGTCGTACTTCACTTTCATCAGTGCGATATTTGGCTATCCCCTTTCAAGAAATGAAACCAAGTGATTTGACCTCTTGTAGTTCACATGGTATGAGAAATCACTTGTGTCAATTGTGAACCTTTTAGTTATTAAGTGAATTCTCCAAGCACCAGTGATTTAAACACATTTGGCACCGTAGATCACTAAAGATGTTCCTGAGATGGCAAAATTCGCTAAAACTTTAGTCAGTGTGGAATTGTTGCTGAAAGTACTGATGTGATCTAGGCCCACTTCGTGAATTAGAAATCGTTTCCGGATTAGAGTATGTCAGGTTGGTGAGAGACGAAATGACTTCTGCTCACATTGTACGTGGTTGTGCTGGAGCACGATTACGTCCTCGTAGAGTCCTGTTCGTCTCCATTTATCTCCAGCTTCTATCATTATATGTCCTGCCCATCTATTTTTGGCTTTTTCGATGTTCATTCCTTTAAATCTCTAGGATGGGGAAGCTTTCGAACTTGTGAACAATCCGTTCTGACTGAAACTATGCATTCTAGCTGGGTTATGTGCGTCAGTCATAGTTTAGAAGATATCAATCGAAAGCGATATTACTTACTAGGGGGATCGTTGAGTCAGAAATCTGAGTGTTGAGTTTTGCGTCCATTACGTTCCGATGACTTCTCTGGAATAGCAAGTTACGGTTGATAATCGTGTTCTTCTTTTGCGTAATTTCTTTTCCATATCTCTAGGAACTCGGAGGGACACACATACGATGTCCTCCGTGTCCAGCCAGTTCCATCTGTTTACTTTCTCGAGATGAATTTTTCTGTGATCTGGGTTTTCTACCGATTTATGCGTGATCCTAACCTTCCCGTTGCTCTATCAAGTTCTTTAAGCATCGTCTATGCTTCAATGATACTCCTCGAAAGGTTAATCATGCGGTTAGCAAGGTAGGGTTTGAAAGGAATTTGCCAATCCGTGTGTCATTCTCGTCTCGATTCACTTCGCTATCCACTGCAGTGCGGAATTGAGCAATGTTGATGAGATTGTTTTGCCTGTTCGGGTCACTTACCTGTAAAGATTTTTAGATGATGTGTAGAGAAACTGTAATTTTATGGCATGGTTCCAATACCAGTTGGCTGCAGTTCCTCTGTAGGAGAGTCAGATTCCTTCGTGAACGGGCGGAAACTGCTTTTTTTGAAAATATTTGACCAAAGTTCTCGCAAGTAACAGGTGTTATTCCCAAAAAAAAAAACTTCAACGGTTTTGGAATCGGTTTGGATGTGATCATTGAAGCAAAATCCGAATCAAGGTTCAACATCTGAGAATACCGCCTGCCGCGTGGAAGCAGTGATTCATGGTAGGAGTGTTTGGCAGACAAAGGGTGAAGCGCTCGATATTAATGAATTCCTTCGCGATGTGCAATACATTGAATACCTTTCTTGACATCACTGAGGTGAATGAATTCAAATTTGGCTTACACAACCACTCATGGAGGCTTGTCGATGCTTCGTGTTTTTATTCTCTCAGACAAGTTTAGTGCCAAATTGGAGACTTCGAGTTGATAGAAGGGTTGTTGAGCGCTGGGCACTCCACAGTACCAACAAGAACAGTTAAAGCTGTGTATTACAGTGCAACCGTTGCGCCGCAAATACCCTGGCGGTGGGGTGTATGTGGTGCTCCAAAAAGGTGCCATTAAGTACCTTCTTAATTGTGAACGGTCATTACGTCCCTGTGTCAGTACAAGAGACAAAGAGATTCTATTATTTGCTTTTGTTTGTAGAGACGGCTTAGTATTTCATTCAACTATTGTAGTTTCACGAGTGAAAATATTTTAGTACTTTGTTCACCAACAAAAGTCTCTGTAGGATGAATGGAACTTTTGTTCAAAAAACAGTTCTTTGTTAATCACAAAACTTAGAAAATACTGAAAAAACGCTGATCATCTCAAGGCAGTTGTCATGGGGAAGATACCAATTTGATATAAGAAGGCTGAAAAAAAACCACGCAGGAAAATGAACAGCTGTAAAAAAGACGAATCGTATGTGGCACTTACGGTGACGAATGTGATAAAAGGTTAAAGCTCTCGACGTTGTTCAATCCTTGAAGGATGCGCCATGCATTCGACTTCATTAAATATCGTTGGAGGTGGTTGAATGCATATCTGGCTTTTATAAAGACTCGCAGTGGTCTATCGATGTATCGAGCTAGTGCTGCTATCCTTCCAGGTGTCTGGTACCAATTTGCCGACCCCGGAGTGATGGGAGACTTGGTAGGCCGTGGGCGCGGGGATTGATTCCACGTATGTGTCGCAGTGGCGCCTCCAACCACGTTCACACTCGTACCCTCGAATGTAATAACATTCAATAAATAAAAATTTAAAAATAAACTTAAGATTTCAAGTTTTTTCACGTAAACGTTGCAGAGGAAAACATGAACGGTAATTAAGTGACACGTGTTGGGCAAAATCTTACTTTTTGCTGTAAGATGAAATACGCTTATTCATATTTGGGATTTTCAAAACTCCCTGCTATTAATGAGTTGAAGTAAGTTCATACAGTCTCATTATTCTGCTCCAACGTATATGTTGGAATTGTCCACACCGTCCGTCGTGACCTAGCAACCTGCTTTTATGTTCCTAAAATCCATTTGCTTTACATAGTGTATATGTGTGATTATACAAATACTGTGTTCAGTGAGGAACAACAAGACGCCACCAAAGAGACGGAGCTTTTGAGACCGGAGAATGTTTACAGATTGAAAGTTGTCAGTTTTCTTTTTTACGGCACTCGACATAAATTCAATATTACCAGAGAATTTTTAAGGCTTGCAATTTCTTGATGGAACTCATTGACAGAGAACGACAATCTCAAGGGAGAGACCGTGTTTGTTTTATTCTTGTTCTTTATTCTTATCAGTGCTTATAAAGTGATGTCTAATGAGTCGTTACTGTTCTTTTTTGTGAACCTTATGCGATCATATTTCAAATTCCTATCCTTGGTTTCCATGCTTTTCCTCATGTGGGTAATTAGAAGTCAGTTAGTTCCAAAGACATGTGCAGCGTCCTAAGAATCAGAGAGGCGTGTTAAACGAGTATTAATGCCGATCGCATACTTCCATTCGAAAACGATTGGATTCGAAGGATGAGCTTCTCGTTTTCACGACATCAGATTGTCTTGTAACTTCTTCACATGAGTAATTATATCTATGGGTCTGGTGTGTCCAGAACGAATCTTGCACGTTCAACTGGTGGCCTTGATGAGCACATTGAAATTGATTATATTGGTCCAGTTTTGATGCTTTTTTTTCCCAAAAGACCAACCAGATATCTCCATCGATAGTGCAGGTGCTACTGGAAACCATTTCCAGTCTCCATAACAGACTGCAGTGAGCTATACGTGGCTACCACGTTGTCAAGATCCTAAGTTAAGAACCATAAGTTGGTCTTAACCTTTTATTTTCTGCCTATTGTAATATTTCACGGTGGGGTATGATGTGAATTACAACTACAACAATGCTGAGATATTCGCAAAGCTGGAACCACGGAACAGATCGAACCACGACTACCCTTTCCGGTGGCTCGCGTATTACACAATACGCAACAGAAGTCTTTGCTGTGCGTCTCCCGTCTAGTTTTATACCTAACATTGCCATCAGCAATCAACTGTTTGCGGAATTGATCTAGAGAGCACAAATAGATATTGAACCCAATTGGAGTGCGATGGGAATTACAACTAATGCAGGTGATGTTCTTCATCCGTTTTAGGTTCCCTGGCAGGTGGTTCAGAAAAGATACCAAAACATGGTCACCAAAGCCGAAAAACGAGACGAAGATCTGATGGATAAGTATAGACGTTACGGACTCGACTTTGCTGAACCTGTTCTTAATAGTTATGTATGTGCAAGCAATTCCATACGCTTTGGATATTCTAATTTAATATAGTGATAGTGTAATTCGCACATATGAGTATACAACGATTTTCTTCCCAAGGTTGTTAAAAAATTGACTGAGGAAAATTACGAAGGGATTGAGCGAAGCAGTTTTCTACGGCATTGACTATGATAACAGCTCGAGTTTGCTTATGGTGGGAATCAATGAAAACGCAAGTGAGTATTTTATGACTAAACGTTTTTCGTTTGGGTTATTATTTGGGTTTCTTCATAGATAATGAAAGACGTCTAATTTTCGTCGTTCTTGCGATGAGTGCCTGTGTTAATCACTACGGCTACTCTACTTCCCAAGTTGTCGATAATCAACTATAGAAAGTACTCTTCCATATTGGGCAGTGAGAGTAACACTGGGTTAGCAAGATATCGAATGAATACACGAAATATAACAGGAAAAAGAATATGCTGTCACGCGTTACTAATGTTGCCCATAACGAGTTAGAATTCTCTTTTTTGCATTGAAATAGTTCAGGACCTTACTCAGAGAAAGAGTTGATGACGGCTGCTAAAGCTTGTGAAGCTTCAACATCAATTCCAGCTCCTTTGTCTGATGTGGTGATTTTACCAATATTTGACAGCATTGTTTAATTCTAAAGATTGTTGTGCTATACTTTAGACTTCTTTATACCAAAATACTTCTCGGTCGCCACTTTTCAACGTCATGAGTGGAGGAAGAAAGTTGAACAAAAGAAGAAAGTGGGAGAAAAACAATTCAGAAGAGGTAAATTTATATTTTGTCACCTTTTTTATGCATTTGAACACAATGTGTTATTGGCTGCTTCGAGCTTCACTAAAATCTTAATAATGTTCTGGAAAAGCTAGACCTCTGGACGTTGATCAATCCGTAAGGGATCAGCCTTGCATTCGTTTTCATTAAGCATCGTTGGAGGTGACATAATATATATCTGGCCCTTATATTGACTCACGGTGGCCTTCCGATGTATCAAGCTAGTGCTGCTATGCTCCCTGACAAGTCTGGTACCAATTTGCCGATCCTGAAAGGATCGAAGGCTCACGGATCCTGGAGCGCCGTGAGCGACCACATGTATATTGCACGGCACCACCGACCACTGCGCTAGATCACACTTGACGTAACACCTGTTGTAGTATGATTGAGTTCAAATTTTGAAACGTTATTTATATTTATTTTAGGGCAGTCGATCCGATATTAATTAGCCATCCCACGTCGCACTTTTCTCGTCTGAGGACGACTGCGATAGTGAAAATGGTTCGGAGGAGCCTAGGAATCTAACTGGTGTCTATACTACGGATGAAGAGAATGATCTGGTATGCGTTCACTACTTTGATATGGAATTGATGTCATTTCTTCTTTCAGGCATCAGTTGAAATATTTAGGAGCAGTAAGATAAAAAATGCACCTTGGTACAGTATGAGGGGCTAGTATTCACACTAGCGCCCCCATTTTGCTGCAACGTCAAAGTGTATGTGGTGGAACCGGTGACTACGCTTAATTATGGAAGATTGTGGTATGCATTGAATTCAGCCCAGAGTTCAGTATTCCCCAATGGTGGCCACTCAATATATTTCATTATTTCCGTCATCTAAGCTTTTTATTTCCACCTATTTTTTTTCTTATTTCTGTGGTTTTGGTGCTCTAAAATTTCTCTTCATCCTTTCTGTTTTTCTATATTTGGCACATATTCAATTCTTATTTGAGAAAAAAGCCTTTCCCACACCGCAGATGTTTGCGGTGAGGAACGGACGCGCTATTTAACTTTTCGGAGGCTAACGCGTTCACCACCATACCATGCGGGGGGGGGGGGGGGGGTTTTAAAGGAATCATATCTTCATTCACAATCTTCGTCCAACCGAACTTTTCAAGAAGAGACGTAATACCTATAATAGTCTATAATAGCTTCTCAAGCACTACTACGTGAGAAGCTATTCTAGAGTTTCGAACCCTTGCATTGACGACATTGTTCTACTGTAGAATGAGAACTCTAACAAGTGATGTGATCAGAACAACAACAAATAAATGAATCGTCTCAAAGATAAACGGAAGTGCCACGATGTTCAGGGGAGCATCTTAATTCTATAGCGGTCTAATTTATGGCCATATCTTATCTTCAGAAAAAAGCGGAAATCTGAGGATTCTCTCCCAACCACTGTCGGTCCAAGTGCCGATAATCTTTGTATAGCCAGCGGCAAAACACCAGCTTCGTTTTAAAATCTTCGGACATGTGCAAAATCCTATTACGCTGCATATTACCGGTTTCTTTTCCAAAAACTAGAAAATTCTCCTTCAATTTATTCTTCAATCAAGAAAATTTACTATCAGCTGAGATATATTTATCTAAACCTGCATAGCGTATATCAAGCCGTGTTGAATTAATTTTAACACCGGCTATGAAGAACAAAGGAACTCCTTAACACAAAATTAATACAAAACGTAGCGCATTGCCCTAAATCCACATATTGTCTCCCAGTTGATGTAATAATTGGTTTCGGCATCGTCTGAATCAGAGTCCGAGCTTTGATTTCCAGGCGGTAGTACCTGTGCCACTTTATCGGGAATCAAGCGCTTGTGATCGTCGTTTTTAAACGACTGCTTATTTTCAAAGCTAGCTTCAAGTGGTGTGCTATGTGCTGCTTCCGTCTCTGATGTAACGAACTCCAGTTTTGTGAAAGTAGTGGGCTTAAGGGCAAGTTTCGGTATTGGAGGCAACGGCTTTCCACACTGCTTTGCACAATGACGACGTGCCTTTAACGTTAGCAGAAATCGTGCCGCTAGCGAGCACTGGTCAATAATGCTTCGTGCTCTAATACAGGACTCTCGTTTTTTTGACCCACATAGTGTGGTGATGAACGCGTTAGCCTCCCAAAAGGGAAATTCGTTTCTAATTGTAATAAAATTTTAGACGTGTTCGTTCCCTACTGCAAACACCTTCGGTCCGGAGTCTTTTCTGCAACTCAAAGACGACTATTGGTAGAACATATAGAGACCTCACTCAGGTAGAGAACTCTCTATCTGCCTAGAAAACACATTCTATAAGTCGATAGAGACCGCATTTGCCCACAACGCCCGCGTGTATGCCCCACATCCCATTCTAACCATCGACACGCGAGTAGACACAGCATCTTGTAACCATCAATCACACCACCAGGCTTGCTATTGGGTACGTCTCATTGCTTGGGGGTTAGACCCCGCGACCCGAACCTTAACCCTACGACCAACGGCGCTCGCTTGGACCTAGCCACGTCCACTAATACCGTCATATGTCTTCTGACGACGCTTTGGAGATCGCCGTTGCCATTCCATCATCATTGCCCTCCCGTTTAATCTTCCTTTACAAATTCATTTGCTTAGGTTGTAGTGATATTAACTAAAATCCTTAGCTCTATCATTGCTAATACATTAATGTCATTGTCGATTCTCATGTAACTACTTTGTGCTGTTAACTTAACAGTTTTGTTAAATACTTTCATTGCTCGCAGGTATTCCACCAAGCAATTCTTCACTCCCGCGAACGTTTTTCATATTCTTGCGCTGTGCGCCGTTGCATTGAATCCTCACAAGCATATTGCATAAGAACCGGTAACGGTTTTGAACGTACACTGTGTGAAGCACATTGCTGAGAGCGAACTGTGTGTATGTATGCGTTAGTCTAAGTACTTTCCTCGTTAGCAACGGTCTGTCTGCCTAACGATTAAACTCTCCTGAGGACTCGCGTATGCCATTATGTATATACGGTAGCCTTTTGCCTATGACATCCCACTAATCTGTGTGTGATATACCATTGACTGGATAAAAGAGTCTAACAGAAAATGCCTACTGCAAAACGGACAATCAGAATGTAAATACATTGAAATCAACTCATGTGATCCAATCTGCCCTTTAAGTTTTCACCGATATCACTGCTTAAAGTCGCGGATGGGATAAATCTCAAGCAAAATGCCTCTGGAAAAAGGTTCCGAAGGCAGGGTTTCGTGGTCGATAAAATGCACCTATATTGTCGTCGAAGTTCCCAGCGAGGAGTCTTTCATCGCCGAGCACTACCAACTCTTTTTGCTCATGCAGGAGCAAATATTGTTCTGTATTAAATCAGCGAGGATTGTTTCTCATTATTATGAGGACGTTTATTTCTTTAAGATGTTGTATGCATGTATTTTAGTCTGTTAACATGCAGAACTCGATAGGAACATGGGGCAACGAGAAGTTTACGAAGACGGGACGCATGTAGTGCCGGAAACTTCCGGTTTTCTTTCTGTGCTAAGAAATAGTTTATCCAACCACCCTTTGGTTAAACAACAATCCTGCGCTCGAACTCCACATCGTATTCTGGTTTTTGGTGTTACATCGGCTCTTGCAGGGTAATATTTCAACTTGGCTTTTCGTTAAATGTGCTAAGTACTTTTTCATAGAGAAGATGTAACTATGAGAAAATGTATGGTGCTCAGGTGAAACATGTAACGGATTTATACATGGGTAGAAATGGGTGAATTGCGCCAACAAGAAGAAGTTTTATGTTCCGAATAGATTGTTTATTCGTATGACACATTTCTCCTCTGCTCATAAAGGATCTAGAACGATGTTGTTGCAAAGGAGTCTATTTAGCGCGATTCCAACTTACAACACTAGGAGATATCAAAATCAGAATCGCGAGCCACCCTAAGCTCTGTTTTTGATAGAACTTTTGGTGGTGCAAGAATCGTGGACATCTTCGTCGGTCTTTTCGAGGCGGTGCTAATATGGTGAAAAACATGTATGATATTTCGAAGGAGATGAAACTTCGCCATTTTGCTAGTGTGTCCCATACCAATAACAATGCGTATGAAGAGAGCACTGTTTTCTACAGAAAAGATCGCTACTGTCGAGACGAATTAGGGCAAAGTTCGGTCTGAGCTTTCCTTTGTAAAAAAAAAAAATTTGGAACTGATCTACTCAATGCACCTACCATCGTTTCAGGTGTGTTTCTGTCCTCCAACTTCAAGAGTGCGTACATTTAGAGCAAATGGGTATATCTTTTTGGAGTGCAGTGATACTTTACTGCAAGTATTATGTTCGGTATTTGAAATATTTGAAAGTGTTTGAAAAATTTAATATGCTCTAGTTCTCGACCGAGATTTCGAAATTCGTCGATGTCTGATCTGAGGACGAATAGGGACTGGTCGAATCGTCTATTAATATATTGATATCAAAGTGCTAATATCATAAAGGATATTTGTATTTATTCACGTTCACGAAGTAAATGCAACTCTTTACTGAACACAGCTTGATTGCTGGAAATAAGAACCATTGGATTTCACACATTTTTGTCGTTAGGATGCAAGTCTACTTATTCTTGTAGCATTGAATCTCATGGTGTTCTGGCAGCGACGGATTCTTCGAAGGTGCTTTTCGCTTTTGTTGTCAAAGCGTTTTCTTAGACTGATGAAGAGGGGTCTATTGAGTGTGGTGGGTGAAGTAGGGTTTGGAAATCTAATTGGTTTAATTGTCTTATATAAGTTTTTTGCTAACTTGTGGTCAAGGGTTATCAGGTGAAGAGACTGCACCTTTTTAATCATCAAGGTTGGAAGGTGCGCCGTGGTTTCTAGTGAATTTCGTCGTTTTCATTACAGTATTTTCCTGAAAAATTCGCTTTGCCATAATTTAAAGGCTGTGGTAGATTAACCCAGCTGCAGGCCATCTTGCAGTCACAGTGATGTTCTTTGAAGACAAGTTTCACTTTGGAAGATGTTTAGGAGCTTCGTTTTTCGTTCACCAATGCGTTTAACATGGTTGATTATCCTGTATGGTCCGCTTTTCTCCATACACAGCCAAGAAATGGATCGTCTTCGTAGACCAAGCGAAGAATAAACTCACAACGGCGATCTCACTGCCCTTCTTTCAGTTCGCGCTGCATTTATTGAGGTTTGACTTTTTTGTGGCTTTCAAATGGTGAATAATTGTTGATTAATCGACGTTGAGTTTTTGTGCAACGACTCGAAGTTTTTTTTTTCAAAGAGTAGCTTTAATTGTGGCCTTCAGATGGGCGTAGTAAACTTTTGTTGAGTGCCTCACACGCTCTTCGTCATGAACTCATGTCGGTGCTACGAATGATTCCCGCCTAGGTACAGGCTTCCACAGCACGACGTTTTCATGATATTTCGGTTTGCTTCCATAGCAATACAACCTAGTTTAACTCCAGGAGGGGAAATTGCGGTTTTCGTGTTTTGACAGAATTATTTTGATTGGCGTGAAATAACGCAATTATATAAACACAAATTTCATCATGTTTGTATAACTCGACGTCTCATGTTATGGGGGCCTATACAGTTTTTGAATGCAAATCATTTCCTCCCATCTATCATCCGTCTTAATCAGTCTTCTTAATTTTACGTCCGCT